GCCCAGCAGCTGTCATCGCCTTCACCTTCCTAATGTTCCTAATGTTCTCCTTTTCAGCTGATAATGGGTATATTTAAAACCTCACACGTGAGAAGAGCAGTATTTCTTTCTTTTTCTTAAGTGAAACATTCTGAACCTAACAAAGTCTACAGTGAATAACAAAGGTAATGGCGGAATGTGTTAAAGCAAAAGGTGGACGTTTACTTGTATATTTCCTGCTGTGGAGAATCATCAAGCTATTTTATTTTTCCAGGTTTGTTTAGCTTCCTGTTGGGCTTTTTGGGAATGATGGTGTATGACGGCCAGAGCGTGAGACAGTCCGGGATGTTTCAGGGCTACAACGCCATCACCTGGACAGTTGTTGTCCTGCAGGTTGGCTCGCTTTGATTCCCTTCAGTGTCTCAGAGTTTACCATTTTATTTCCAGAAGAAAACTGGTTGAAACTGGAAGAAAAAGAATACAGTCCTTAACTTGACTTTGACTTTTATTTCATTCTAAATAGTTCGTAGGAAATATACACTGCACCATGCAGGTAGTATTCACACCCCTCAAACTTTTTTCACATTTTATCACGTTACGGTCACAGACCACTGTATTTTAATTGGATTTTATCTCAGACCAACACATGGTCAAAGGAAGTAGAAATATGAATATAATAAATAATAAAGCTAATATAATAAAGCTCTTTAAAAAATAAAAAGCCTGAGCTTCCATTTTTTACTTAACCCCTCTCCTTCTAACGTTCGCTATTGAACCTCTGAGGCCTTCACTTTTGGATTTGTACTGAGATCATTTAAGAGTATCAAAATAAGGAGGGCTGGACATACTGCTGCTCTTTTCAGATTGCCTTTTTTAAGCTTCAAACTTGGCAACCTTTCATTTGAATCTGTCTTATAACATAAAATAAAAATTATGGTTGTCACTGGACAAACAGGGTGTGAATATTTATGCTGCATTTTTATTTTGTTTATTTTATTTCACCTTTATTTAACTAAGTAAGTTGATTGATAAGAAGCTCACATTTTTAACAATGAATTGTTCAGAAAACATGAAAACATCACACAACAGAATACATGGTCAGTAGTGTCTGGTGAAATGAAAGGTCAGAGTAAGCAAAAATAATTTATGTTTCCACTTCTTACTACTATAGGACCAGTGTTTTGACATCAAATCATTTAAAATAATTTTTTATTACTATTACTATTCGGGGTTATTTACAAAGTGAAAGTAGGTGTGGTTTAACTGGTTTGTTGGGATCACATGAAAAACTTTCAGACTTTCAAACTTTGCGTTGCAGGCTGTGGGCGGACTGGTCGTCGCCGTGGTGATTAAGTACGCCGACAACATCCTCAAAGGATTCGCTACCTCCGTGTCCATCATCATGTCCACCCTCATCTCGTATTTCCTCCTGAACGACTTCCACCCCACAGGGTAACCGTGGTGACATTAACCGAGCCTTGCAAGCCGTCGTTTGTGTATTGGATTGGTATAAATCTCTACGCTCTCTCTCTCTTTCTCTTTCTCTCTCTCTCTCTCTCTCTCTCTCTCTCTCTCTCTCTCTCTGCCTCTCTGCTCCTGCAGGGTGTTTTTCCTGGGAGCGATGCTGGTGATTGCTGCCACATTTCTTTACGGCTACCAGGGCAAGCCCGCCAACGGCGCCGTCAAAGTGTAGTCAGGGAGCTCCAGCGAGCTGATGGATGGGATGGGATGGCAGACCTCCAACCCTCCACACCTCCCTCCTCCTCCCGCATCGATGGACTGTGAACTGTAACCACCGCTCTGGTGCTCCCATGCTTAAGATGCAGGAAGAGTAGGAGCAGCGGATCTGGTTACCGTGGAGCCACTTCAGCTGAAATCATGGAGGGTCCAATTTCTTTGCAGAAAACATAAGGTCAATCACACTGTGACACTGTGAAAACGAGGAGAGCAGTTCAGTCTGCAGTCACGGGAACTTGGGCTGTTTTTGTTTAATTAATTTTTTTAACTTTAGTGATTCGGTGATGGGAAACAGCGTCTTCCTAAACCAGAGCATCAGATCTGACAGCATTCGAGTCAGATGGGGAGAGCGCAGGCTCCCTCTAGTGGCGGGATGAGGAGAAACCTTGCTGCAAAGAGGAGGGGTTTACCTCCGCCAAGAGATGCTGGATGTTCTTTTTTTTTTCCATACAAGATGAGATAAATGTAATGAAAGCAACATGACTGCCCTGACATTGCTGGTCACCGTCTCGGTATCTATTTGAAAAAGATTTTTTTCTGTCGTTCTATAAATGCAAAATAAAGACTTTACGGATGAATGAATTAAAGTATGCTTCTAATTGATTTTTTACTCACTTCAGAGGGAGTTGGGGTCTGTGTGTGTGTTCCTGTGTCCACTCTCACACTGATATGTTCACAAAAGAGAAGAGGAGCAAGGCACACCCATGAACATTTTGAAATTTTTTTTTCTCTTTCCCCTTCCCTTCCAGTTGCGCCTCACTCTGGAAAACCAAACCTGTCTCTATAGCAACAGATGGCTGAGTAAGCCGAGGTGCTGTGACAAAAGCAGAGACACCAAATTACCGTGCCCGGTTTGACCTCGGACTGTTTTCACCAGACTCATCGTGTTCTGCGTTGTACGTTTGGTGATGGAAAGAAAAGGCGAGGAGGAGTGGAAAAAGTGCAGTGGGAGAGGAAGGTGAGGCATGAACCTGGAGAGAAGCACAGATGGAGGATGAGTCATGTGACAACGTGTGTGGAGTGGCAGGCAGGACCTTGGAAAACTGTCAGAACGAGCCGATGGACGGACCATGACCAGGAAAACAAGGAGGAGGTGAAGGTGGCAGGGCCGTCAACAGAAGGTTGGGTAAAGGGCGGCTGCTGGTAATCTGGGGGTGGAACGCCAATTTAAAGCATTTTAAGAACAAAAAATAAAACAAGCAAACAAACACTCAATCTTCCTGTTCTGTAACTTATTCAGAAAAAAAAGTTCAATTTCTGCACAGATTCCTCTCAGATTGATATGTTTCTAGTGGGGGTGAATTGATTGCAGTTTTCTGGCCAATCACCGATTTTCTTTTGCCTGAAAAGATAACCAAATATTGATGTGTTTCCCTGCTTATAGAGTGTTCACAAGAAAAACAAACTTTTTTCTTATATTTCAGTATCTAGGGTGCACCAGTTACAGGTCTGTGGCCGATCACAGATCCTTAAAAAGCCTGACCTGCTCATTCCAATTTTGTTCAATACAGATTTGTCTGAAAAGTTGCTGAATGTAGCAAAAAGGTTGCTGGCAACAGTGGGATGATTATTATTAACCACACATGCGGAAATGTAACCAAGTGGTCATCTGTCAGTCAGTCCTCTCTCATGTCAGGGCAAAAGAAGACAGAAGTTGACTTTCAGACTTTTGCGGACTTAGATAAGATCCATTACTTATATAAATATTATATTGCGATCTCTCAAAATTAAAGAAAACGGGCCGATTTATCGTCCAGCTGATTTATCAGTGCACCGTTAATTTTAAACTTTAATTTCAGTTCATTTTGATGATGATGGCTTACAGCCTTATAACAAAAACTGCAAAAATCAGTTGTTACATAAGACAAGATATAACAATAGATTCTACTAATTATCAAACTAGTACATCAGTAGAGTGAGGGGAGGCGATGAGACTGTGGTTCTGCTGAGGTGTTCAGAAAACATTACACATGCCTCAGTATAAAGTACCATGTGAACAGTCAGCTTGTTCAGTGACCTCTTGCTGGACAGCTGCCTTTAGTCAGCAGGTTTTCTCATTCGTGAAGGCTGTAATATGTTCAAAATAAAACATTTTGACCTCATGTAAAATGAGAAACGGAAGGGTTTCAGTAGCTGTAATCCATCATAATGTAGAGAACTAAACGCTTAGAATATATCACACTCTGCAAAAGAAATCTATATAATAAGACCTTAAAATTTTTTGACTTGAATTTCTTAAATTATGGCATCTGTGATGATATCTTTTGAAAGTATTAAATCACCATATTCAGTATTAATATATGATTTTTGTAGCCCATTTAATAATATGTGCACATAGCTTTAAAGTACTGTAGCTACATTTTTACCCAGGTGCATGATTCTTGAATTATCTGGAAGTACAATTTAAACTTTTTTTTTTTTTTGCAATATGTAACTGGCTCTGACATAAAACAGTAAAGCATAATCTTACTGTGATTACCAACTAAAATATTATGTCATATTTTAGTCTGTGGATTACAGGAGGATAAATTATGGAAGGCCAAAAGTTGAATTAATATTCGATAAATGCAGTTTAATGCAGCAGCACGTCATGAATTGCCAATCAAAGTCAGTGGGCGGGGCTTATACTGCTCTCCAGTCAACCAATCAAAGGCCAGTGTCTATGTAACAATTCAGTGACAGTTTTAATTATTTAACGCTGCTCTGCTGCTGACATAATTAAATAAAGCATGACTTGCATATGTTTGCATAAGATTGAAACATTAAACTAATACAAATTTAATTTTGACATTTAAATTATTGACCCACTTGAGTAAAAATGCATGGATGTATTCATTTCCAGTTTTATTTAAATTGTCACATATATAAATAATCATTTAATCATTTATTTGTTTCTCAAAATCTGATACAGTTTGCCCTCTGTAGGTGGAGAAGTGAGGAGAGAAAAAAAATGACACAAGCATTTATGTGTAGTAAATAAATGTCGCAAGTCTCTGAAGCATGTTCTTTTCTTAAATTCATGTTCATAAAAAATATTACGCGTACAGGACTGCAAGGGAGGGTGGGGGCAGAAGAGTGACTTCTTAGAAGTAGTCTTGGTTTAATTCCAGACCAAGAAAACTGTTAAGAATACATATACAATCCATTACTGGAGTAACTTTATCTGTGACATAACTTTATTAGTGCCACATTGATTGGTGGACACCTCCAGCTACAGTAAGTGTCAGTGTGCCTTATGGCAGTATTCCAAATTATTTACACTGTACTTATAAACTTGTCTGGCATTGTTTTTATTGTTTTTTTTTTCTTATTTAATGCATGAAGAGATCCAGCTCATCTTTAAAGCCATCCGACACCCATTGAAATACAGTATATCAGCTGCACAAAAGAGGCGAAAATATGCCAGAAGAGATAGAGGACTCCTGTGAAAACGGTAGCAGTAGTGTTCCCCTTCCACGTGGCTGCTCTCAATACAATCTGATGGATGCATGGGTTTTAATCTTAAACCTAAAAATACTCATACAATACTTAAGATTCCTTGAACTGATCTGAGTACATCCTTTAATAGCAGTACTGGGTGTGCTGAAGGCCTTTGTTGGCACCGATGAGGTCAAACCAGCCCGCATCGTATTTTGGCTGACTTGTCAATCAAAATGTCTTCAGGTATCAAGTTATACAAAACAAACTGCTGCTCTTAAACTTCTATAAGAACAGTTTTTTTCTTCTTCTTTTTTTTCAGTCTCCTCACTCTCATGCAATAAGGTCTACATAAGGATGCGGGATGCAGTTCTTGTTGTTGACTAATACCTCTGTGGTACGTCTAAAAACTGGGTTTGTACTTTGCTAAAAATGCAGGCAGAGATAAATATGCAGTTCAAAACTTATCGGGGGCCGGTGGGGTTTAGACAAGCCTTGATGTCGCTCAAGGTCCTGGAGGACAAACTGTGGTGTTTTCTTCTGACTGCTGTGTCAGATTCAAGATTCAACCTTCGCTTTGGCTTAAGGTAACAGTCCACTTCAGTCCTTTAGAGATTAGGAGCTGCAAGGACACCAGCGGGCACTGTGACCACTTCGTCCTCCCTTTTTCCTTAAAGGGAGCACCTATGCTTTTGTCTGTGCAGAGATTTCACCCCCTCCTATTTTGGCGGTATGACCACAAGCGGTGCCCCTCTACGCGGCCTCCACATCAGCACTTGGGCGTCGTTGGCATTTGGCCTTCCTAGAGCGTTGGGAGGGATGGGCTCCTGGTAGTTGAGGATGTGCGGCTGCTCCTGGTACGGTCGACCGACAAGCGAGGCTCGGGAGCCAAGTGGCATGTCCGGATCCACGGCGATGTCAACCCGCATCCTCCACCGCACGGTCTGCAACACAATGCGCTCCTAGAGAAGACAAGAAGGATGTACTCAGTATGGCAGGAATACTCCTTCAATAATGGGAATCATGATGGTCTTGAAATTGCATTATGTTATCTAATACATCATTGTTTGTCTTGAACAAGGTTGTCCAAGTCCACTCCTGGAGAGCTACCACCCTTCAACTTCTAGACGGATGCCTTCTCTAACACAGCTGGATCAAATGAACTCGCCGTTACCAGGTCTTTGCAGAGCTGAGCTGGTGAAAGAATTCAGCCTTTGACTAAAAGGCTGGGAGCAGGGACGCATCTAAAAGTTGCAGGACGGTGGCTCTTGAGTAGTGGAGTTGAGCACAGCTGGACTTAAACTATGCTAATCTGTCCAGAGAGAAGCTGAACAAGCTTGTAACTCAACAGAAAACAGGCCTGACTAAAATCTTCGGCTGCAGTCTGATTGAGTTTTAGTGACCACTGCAGGGGCTTTCCATTGGCCATAATTCAGTCATTTGTAACTTTACACCAAAAGAGAAAAATGCAAGAGGAGCTGATACCATTACAGCCTGTCTGTGTGAAATACAGAGTCTGGATGTACAGCCAGTGTTCTGCATTAACAGCTCGGATAAAAATGTTGATGGACGCACGTGAAACCGAAGCAAAATGATGTGAGAACAGACAGCCGGCATGCTCTCTGCGCTCTACTCCTACCTTGGTGACAGAGTTCATGGCCACTAGCCAGGTGATGAAGCTCTGGTCCCGGGTGATGTGGGTCAGCATTGGGGTGTTGCTGTTGCTGATGGGGACTGCCCAGGTCACGCTGGGGTAGAAGTTGTCATTCATGCTGACCGTCAGCCGAGATGGTTTGGACGTGGGGCCGGTCAGGGTCACCGTCTCCGTGGTGTTGCCATACCAAGGGTAGCTGACGCCATCTGAATCGCTGATGGCCTTCACCCGACCCTCTCGCAGCTCTGGTAGCTCCCAGCTAGACCTGCGCCAGGACAGGAAACTGAAAGGTGAAACTTACTTTGCCTGAGTGAAGAGGCAACATAATAAGACAGGTGGCGTCTTCTCCTCACATGCCAATATCACCATAGGTGTTGTAGAACTCCATCTGGGTACAGGCCTGGATCCAGCCCACCACCCAGGTCTCATTGCGGGGCACCGGCGGCATCACAACTCCTGCTGAGGCCCTGAAGTAGGGTGTCTTATAACGGAGCACAATCGGTGAGTTCTCCTCTATGATTGTAGGACACTGGTCAATAGAGGCAGACACCTCGTACACCACGATGTTCTCCCGTCTGATGCGGGGCTTGCAGGCGATGCTTTGAAGGCAGCCCATAGTGGAGGCGACAAACAGAAGGAGTAAAAACAGAGAAGGAGGGACCAAGTGATGCCTGGCCAGTATGCTCATCAGTCCCCCCTCAGGGCTCCACCCGTGCCTGGAGAGCAGACCTAAGCTTTTAATTGCACATCACCAGTGATTGGTTGGGAAGGAAGAGTGGAGAGGATGAATGGGGAGTGCCACAGTCACCACAGATCAAGCACACAAACATCCACCATCATATCTCCAGGATGGTGTGGAGAGTGGTTTCGGGGGAGAGTATATCACAGATCTCCGCAGCCTCCTCCCCCCGGTCTGTCTGCTGACTGCCGCACTGCCCTTGGCGCTCGTCCCCAGAAACTGCAATCCGGCCTCCCCTGGGCTGCTGCTTCCGCTCCGCCGAGCGTCCCCCGCTCCTGGTCGAGTCCGCACGTCCGGCTGCACGTCGGTGCCCCTTGATCCTGCTGCCCTGCTGCCGGCTCTGCGCTGTCATGTCAAGTGGCGACAGGGCAGCCAGGTGCGTCAGAGGAGGAGGAGGAGGATGAGGGCTGGGATGCCTTTTGTTCGCTCGGCTTTCCTCGGATTTGCCCGAAATTCACGCGGCGCCCTCGGAAGCCCAAATCGGTGTCTTCATCGCTCTGACCTACATGGAAACAGAAGATGCGAAAAGGCGAGCTCGTAAAGGCGGAGCCAGCGGGGGATGTTTTAATGCTTTCCTCGCAGTGTGCTTCCATCCGCGGAGACCCATGAATGGTGTATCATGAATGGAGGCAGTGAGGCGGAATGGACGTGATAAAAGCATACCATCAGCCCCTTGGTTAGCCGCCTCATCGCTAGGCTGTGGATCATAACGGAGCGAAGAGCATCCTCTTCCCAGCGGCGGGTCGCCTTGTACGGTTTGGAGGTGCTGATGCTGTAGAGGCAGCGGAGGGAGGAAGAGAGAGAGAGAGGGCGAGAGTGAGAGAAAGGGATGGATGGAGGGAGGGGCGTCACCCGACCTCTGCATTGAAAAAAATAACAAGTGCACTGGGAGGGCGTGGTCACGGCTCTGCATCACGCACCGTGTGGGGAAACCCCATTGGTGGATGAAGTCAACAGCGGAAGTGGAAGCCGTCCTGTTCTTCCACCGACCGACACAATTGACACGCACTCACCGGTCACCACGGCGCCGCTTCCCTGCTCGCTCGGTGCTGGTTTATGTTGGGCCGCTTGCTTGGTAACGCGTCGCAGAGCTTGTTGAAGCGGGTGTCGCACATCATGAAGCCGCAGGTTATCTTCGTCCTGGGCGGGCCCGGCGCCGGCAAAGGGACGCAGTGCTCCAAAATAGTGGAGGTATGATGGAGGAAAGACAATGAAATCTGGCGACTTCTGTTGCGAAGGTGTAGCTAGGTGACACGAGAAGCTTTGAGTGCTTTGACTCATTATTACATTTTTATTAACGATGTAGTAGCCATGTCTTCTTTATCGACTTCCGCTTGTCCTCTAAAAATAAATGTTAGCTAGCTAGTTAGCTTCGTTTTTGCTCTGATGCTATGGCGCTTATAAACAAGCAGAACCTGGCACACCGGAAGCAGGAAAGACAAGTTTAATGATGCCAATGAGACCAACACGAGCTTTCTATACAGAGCTAGTTTTATCCAGAGCAAACGACTGAATGAATGAGCGAAGCGAACATGACGTAGAGCAAACAGAGCCGGCAGGATGTTGGATCATTCCCACCGCCTGGTTGGTACAGCTGCAGTTATGTAACAACTAGAGCCAGTCTGGAGGGCACCGGGACCCCCTTCATCAAACAGAAATACATGTTTGAGCAAACATCTATTGATTTACTGACAAGATGGAGTTCACTGTACCGAGCTTAAAGCTTTAGCCTCTTCTCAGTTGTCTCATGAAAATGTGAAACATAACCGTTAAGTTGTCGAAATATGCAAAAATAAATCAATACACTAGGTAAAGGGGTTCAGTGGTGGGAAGTAACGAAGTACAAGTACTTCG